ATTTATTTTATCTCCCCCCATTTGTATGAAATAATCTTGGTCTTTACACTGTTATGATGTCCTCTGAAACCCAGCAATCAATATCTCTCTGAATCCTATATATAATATTATAATATATATACCCTGTATCCTCTTTACACCAAAAACAAATAACTTCTCTTCTCTAGTAAAACAAGATTGTGGCGAGTTTTAGTTAATTAAATTAAAGATTAAAGATCATTTCGGGAAAATATCAGCCTTATATATATAATCTCTCAGTGGTCCAGGTAGGTTCCATAGTGGTCCATGGGTGTTTACCAGTCTATGTGCTCTTGTACTGGGAATGTTTTAGTTTTGATACCAGCTCAAATGAGTATCTAGTTTCGATACTAATTTTAGTGTTGATTAGTATCTGATTTCCTATGTTCTTAGCAACTGCGTAAGTTAATATTGCCTGTAGAGTTAACATTGTGATCATTCAGCTCCTCAGTGTCGGAGTTTCACGTGTCTGTTTGTTTTTAGTTGTGGTTTCTCTGGGTGTTGCCTTTCTTTGTTTAGTCACAAAGACGAATGCTGCAAATGTTTACTCCTTTACTTCTCTTTTTCCTCTCCTCACCACACTTGCACCACACTTTTCTACCCCCACTTTCTCCTTTCTTTTGCCCTTTTTCTCTTTCCCCTCAGACCATACCAAGTGTCACTGTATTACTGGGTATTAAAAGCCAGTTTGAATACATGAGTTTTAAGCCTGGATTTAAACTATTTGAGCCCTATCTGAGCTGTGAACATACAGGAGTGGACATCCCTACACCCTTTCCCTCCTCCCTCTTTCTCCCCTTCCCTCCTCATCTCTTTGGTCCATCACATGAACAGTGGTGCAGGGAGGACTGTCCTTTCTGTGGGCTCAGAGAGAGAGAGAGCGTGTTCCACTGTTTCTGGGCGTTTGTGTCTGACATAGCTGTTCCACCTGCAGGGGGCAGTGTTCAGGAGTGTGGGGCAGGTGTTTAATGCACAGGTGTTTGTGTGTAGGCTCAGATACTCTGTGCAGAGCAGGAGGAGGAGCCAGTTGCTGAGCTTCCGGTTAGGCCAGGCCAAGATGGTGGTGTATGTGAGCAGGAGGAGGAGTCTGCAGGCTCAGAGCTGGGTCAGTGTGAGGGCCTGTTTGGACCAGGAGGATGAGGCTGCAGGAGGATGTGGGTGCAGGAGGAGGTGGCTGCAGGAGGAGGAAGAGGCTGCAGGAGGAGGAAGAGGCTGCAGGAGGAGGAAGAGGCTGCAGGAGGAGGAAGAGGCTGCAGGAGGAGGAAGAGGCTGCAGGAGGAGGTGGCTGCAGGAGGAGGTGGCTGCAGGAGGAGGTGGCTGCAGGAGGAGGTTGCTGCAGGCTCACAGCTGGGTCAGTGTGAAGGTTTGTTTGGAGCAGGAGGAGGAGGCTGCAGGAGGAAGAGGTTGCAGGAGGAGGAGGAGGCTGCAGGCTCAGAGCTGGGTCAGTTTGAGGGTCTGTTTGTCAGGATGGTGCAGACCAGACTCAGGCTAGACTTTGGCCTCTACTCTATGAACAGTGATGAGGCTTTGGTGGGATGGTAGCCTCTGTGAAGGAGGGACAACTCTTATTTGGACCTCTGTTTTTGTAAATAGTGTAAATAATGTAAATAGTGTAAATAGTATGTACGTGTAATGTCAGTACTTTTTATGTAAATAGCACGAGGTGTGGATGGAATTCAATGCAAAATGTTTTTGACAGAACAATAAAGGTCTGTAAAAAATCCAAATCCACCCCTCTCTCTCTCCCTCTCCTCCTCTCCCCCCCTTTCTCTCCACCTCTCTTTCCTCCCTCTCCTCCTCTTCTCTCTGTTATTCATCTAAAGTGGTTGTTTTGTCAGTGGGGCGTGAGCTGCTCAACCCGTCCATGACAAACAAACACAAAACTCACAAGTATTTCTGTCACAATAAACTCTGTGTCCAAATACGTGTGGACAAATGGAGAGGCCTCTTTCCGAACAATGAGGAAACATGTTAATGGAACGTTTACTTGTGTTTGTCAACAGCATGTGCTTCTACTCACTGATGGATTATGTTATGGTGCATTGACTTCTGAGTGACCCTTGAGTGACCTTTTAGTTTATCATTCCCTCTTTGTGTTTAGATTCTTGTCACGGAGGTTGTAAGAAGTGGAAAGTCTTATGTCTATGTTGCTTTGTCTATGATACCACATTGGACCAACAGAACATGCACACACAGACGCACATTGAGACGTGCACACAGACACACACGCACAAACGCACACACGCACATTCTCTGACTGTACTCAGTAAGTCTAGTAAGTCCCACATCCAGAAAGCCCCACATCCAAATTGTTCCGAGCTCACTTTGTCCCAAAGTCACTTTAATGTCCCAAATTGCCCATTTTGTCCCAGATGCACCTTGTCCCATGTCCATTGTTTCAGAAGCCCAACATAAATCCAATCTCTTGTCCATATCTATTAGCTGTCCACAACTCTGCGCTTTTGTCCTTGCAATCAATAGTTAAATTAAAGTCTCTCCCATGTCTTTATGAAATGTTCCCAGCATAGTTTTACTACATAACAAAAAAACAAAAAACAAGAAAGTGCATGAGCACATCCATAAATAATCAATTTTGTGATTCAAATTTATTTCCCAAAAATCTAAATTAATCCCCCCATTACTAAGGCACTAACAGAAATCACTAGTGAATTGAGCACCATTATCTGAACTGATCAAGATCTTTACAATCCCTCACCATTAACACTTTGGCTTGTTTTGGAGTGGCTCCGTAAAGCTGGATGAAAACCTTACAATTTCTTGTCCATGTTGATTTAATCTTGTTTTTCTTCAGGATTCATGCTTCTTGAGCAATATCGGCCGTAGTTATACGTTGTGTTTCCTACTCACAAGGCAAAGGATGATAGCAGGTTTTGTTTTGTCCTTCCATGGAAGAGTGTGGCACGCTGAGATGTTGTTGTGTCCAAGTGAATATTATCATTCAGAAATTGCACGACTTGCCCCTCCAATGTTTGCAAATAACCAATCTCTGCATCCTCATCCAACATTTCTGCCTATCGATACAGCTCTGGGGTAAGACTCCAGACTTTCACTAGAATCATTTGGATCATTTCAGTCCTGGAATTTCCGAGCTCTACTGAACTGAAGGTTAATGCTTAATGACATCACAAGGAACAGAGAATTTTGAGATTTGGACCTAGACACTCTAATAATGCAGGATTACTCAAACATACTGTATATGAATGAAACAAGACACAACTGAGCAACATTCTAACTTGGCGTAAAGCTCACAAGAGTCAGTGGTGTGTAATGTAAGATCTGTTTTAGCTTGCATAGTTGTTCTAGATCAATATTTAATAAGGGAAATGAAAATGAAACACTAGTGTGTGTTCTATTAAAGAACAAGTATTGTGCATTACTTTTATTGTTATTGGCCTTTGCATAGTTTAGTATAATTAAGATAATTTCACAGCTTTAGTGCTCCCTATATTCTGAGCTTGCCATCTACTGGCAGCAGAGGGAATTACCACAGTGAAAGAAATTAAACTGTGTAATGAGGAACATGTGATTTGATGACAGGAATGCGTAAAATGATTCTAGAGATGATTTATAGACATAAAAACAACAGAGCTGTCTATGACATCAATATCCTGGGAAATTTCAAGTGGAGTGTTTTAACTCTACTGATTATTTGGACATAATTTATTAAATTATTTTTTCCATTATAATTCTGAAACTAAACTTTTACTTGAAAAATTGGTACAACAACACATTTTTCCCCAAAGAATTTTCTTTGTTTTATTTTACCAATACACATTCACACATTCTACTTCTACACTTATTTATGCAGCTGAGCCTTCAGGACTCTGTCATTATTATTATACGTCAAGGAACCACATAAATAATTTATGACAGTTTTACAGATGTATAATGAACTTACTACACAACATGTACATTCATTAAGCTCATAAAGCGATACTAACAACAGTGCACTGTTTGATAGGTGCACTGCTCAGACATGTGCATTGGTCTGACAGGTGCACTGGTCAGACAGGTGCACTTATAACACAACTTGATGTGTCACAAACATCCCCTTAAACACAGCCCTGCGTTAGAACCATGGATCTATAATATGGTTAGCACAGAGTGCTCACACTCACCTCTCATAAATGCAAAAGCATGTCTGTCCTGAAGAAATGTCCTGTAGTTCCCTGAAGTAGAGTAGGTCCAGAACACACACATGTTCCTCCACACGTTTGTAATAGTGGTGATATTCCACTGACACTCCTTCATAAACACAGATGAGAGCTCCTCTCCAGCCGTTTACTCCACTGCTCCATCCGGATCCTCCATTTCACACAGACTCGCCCTGAAACTAACTCACTGTTTCATTAAATGATGGCCTGTATTTCTAACTAACATCTAATCATTACAAACAAGACAGAAGTCGAGGGAAAACGGGATTATGTGGCTATAATTCAAAACTATTTAATTATACCTTTGACACACAATGATTTTAGACCCACTGCTTGCTTTGGTTGCCCTGACTGCCCACCAGTGGTCTAGAATGTTCCACAGTAGAGATTAAACCTCTATATCACAAAGGAGACAAGCAGCTACATTCCAGTTCAGATCTGTGGAGACTCGCCCCTACTGTATTCACAGAACAAATTATTGTCTTTTTGAGCAATAGAAACACCTGTAGTGAATAGTATTAAATACTAGATGGATCACAATGACCCTGTTTTACCTCATGATAACACCTGGCTATAATCTGGGAAGTCCTGTGTTATGTCACATATTACTTGAAATTGCAGAGGCCACTGAAGACAGCACACAACTGACCAGAAAGAACTGGACTGAAAAGTATTTTTATTGTAGTTTGAAACTTGCTGATAAGACTGCAGGGTTTATTTTTTCAAAAATTTGTAGTTTGAGTAAGCAAGCAAAAAACCCTAACCTCACTCATTATAATCTATATATTTTTTGTCTCTCCCTTCCAGGTCTCCCCATCTCCTCCCTGGAGCCGGTGGTGATGCGTGAGGGTCAATCCTTCGGTGTGGCTGCCTCCTGTCGCTCCATGGGTCGACCTGCCCCACGCCTGTCATGGGACACTCCTCTGGCGGGACAGGTGCAGAACAGGAGCAGTGAGAGCGGAGCTGTTACCTCTCTCTTCTCCCTCCACCCTCTTCGCTCCATGAACGGAAAACAGCTGGACTGTCTGGTGTGGCATCCAGGCTTCGACCAACCCAAGAGGATCTCCAACACGCTGGAGGTTCAGTGTGAGTATAGAAAAGTTTTGAAAATTGAGAATTGGTCAAATCAAGGCCATATTCATGTAATGTCAGAATATTGTAGAATCCTTTAGTGTGGGTCAAGTAATATAAAAGTAACACTAAAACAAGGACAGGACAGACAAAATGTTAATGAGGAGCAGTCATGTGTGGTGATTATTGGCTGTGAAGGAAAGATGTATTTTGAGCAGTTTTTTGAAGGAGTATGTGAGTCTGAGTTTCTGAGGTGAAGGGGGAAAGACTTCCAGAGGGTTTGGGCAGCCGTGGCAAATTCTCGGTCCCCCAAGGTTTGGTGCTTTGGTTTAATTGTGGGAGAGAGGAAGTTTGAGTTGGCTGACCAGAGGTGGTGGGAGGGACAGTGGGGCTGGAGGAGTCTTGCTTAAGGACACTTTAGGCACTCAGTCTTCCCAGAAATCACCCATCCTACTACTAATCAGGCCCAGTCTTGCTTAGCTTCGGTGATCTGATGAGATCAGACAGGCTTTGACATGGAGGTTTGGCCACAAATTGGAGGTGAAAGACAGGTCAAAATTCTGTTGAAAATTTCTGTTTAACATCCACATTGCAGGTGTCTTGACCTGGTTTCTGGTTGACCTCTGTAATTACTGGGCCTATTTACACATCCTATTGTAACTGATTGCACCAGAGAGTTGCTGATTCAAATCCAGTTGTAGCGTGTTACTGTGTCCATGGGTAAGGTCAGGTGTCAAAGCAGAGTTCTAGAGTTCATTGTGAATATTATGAGGATATTAGAAAGTCATTTGAAAGTGCCATTTACAAAGCCAATCGTGTTTTTACCGCCAGTGATTTTCTGTTGGAGAGGAGTCTGAACTCACTAGCTGTTTAATTAGCACCATTATCGTGATCCATGACACAGGAGCTCATCCACCCATACATTAGCCTCTTTACACACCTTACTTAGACCCATAATTATGGACCTGAAATTTCTCTGATGAACTTTTTGTGCTCTTTGTTATTACATCCTTGTACCCAAACAAATGCACAGTGTTATTATCTTGTAGTGTGGTCAAGATACTAAAACTTCAAAGTCTCTTTCAGTTCTAATAGACTCATTCAGCTTCCTGTTACATGACGACTATTAACCATTCAAATGATTGGCTCTAATATTTTGTTTCAAATTGTTAATCGCTATGACAACAGTCCTACTTTTCCAATATTCTGAAACCCATTGATACCAGATCATGATTTCACAGTTATGATTAAAGCGGACCTATCATGCAAAATTGTCTTTTTAGAGCTTTTAACCATTTCAAAGTCAGACGCCATTTTGACGATCAACTCCTGTTCTGCTCTGTACTTACTTTGATCTTCAATTTTATTTTCTTTATCTGGGAAATGTGTAGGATTCTACGTTGCGTAGTTGTTTTGGTTTCGCTATTGTGATGTGCAGCTGCCGATTGGAGCAACTAATAATGATCATTTCCCTTGTGGATCAATAGTTTGTCTAAGTCTAAGCTATCCATAGGAGGTGCCCACAACTTCACGACCCTTTGTTGTGATGATGTTTACGGTGATGACTGCTCCCATTGAGCGCCACAATTTTCTAAACAGAAGCCAATTATTGTTGCTTTAATTGAATAATGGAATTTAAAATGTGCAAACACCATGATCCACAGGTGTCATAAATCATGAGTGTATGGCAGACACAGTCACACCTTACATTTATTGAATTACAGGTGGTTTTATCAGACCTGTAACTTGGTCTGATTTTGTCTCCATGAAGATAGAAAGGTTCAGTGTCATACTGTGAAACATTCCAGACAAAGGAAGACAAGAATTTGATGGACCCCCACCAGAAAAAGTTACAGGATCCACCTTTAAATAATAGAATGCAAATTTCTACACAAAACAAGAACCACTGATTTGATATTGCCATCTGACCTTATACTAGTTCTAAGAAAAAATTTTATTAAATGATTCAGGAAAGATCTAATCACGTTTCATCTTGTCTTCATACTGCTCTGATGAGTGTCTAGTTTCAGCACTAGTTTCACCAGAGACTATTATCTGGGAGATGATTTTTAATATGATAACAATCTTAATGTAGTGTTAATGTTTTTAAATGGTGATGCTTCATCACCAGAAGTGTGACATTCCAGGTTGAACACAGTCATCTACCAACCATTCTGTAAACAACGGCCAACCTCTGTCTAATTTACACAGTAGTTCTAATAAACTGACAGATAAAAATATAAGATGCCACATTAATTTTTTTGTGTGTGTGTTTCTGTATGTATGTATGTGACACACACACGCGGGGTGTCCTTTTACACTGGAAACCCACTTTGTATCTTTAGCTACTATTTTAAAAGCAAATATTAGTTTAGTTTATTTATTTAAAGGTACATTGTGTAACTTTTCAGGTGGAGTCCATCAAATACTTTACACAATGTAGATGTTATTGCTTATTGCTTTGTCTTGAATGTTTCACAATATGATATTAAACCTTTCTATCTTCATGGAGCCCAAACCAGAGAGAGTAACGGGTCAGATCTGTGGAGCGGCAACCCCGCTCACCGTCAGAATGCCTGTTTTTCTAGAGATTTTTGAGCTATAAATCCACCTGTAATTGAATAAATGTAAGGTAGAGCTGTTTAATATCATTGTGGAACATTCCAGGCAGAGCAATGACATATTCATAGAACCAAGCAGGTGACGCACCCCCAAGCAAAAAGTTACACAGTCTTACATTGTCTGTTCAAACCTCAAACCAATAAAAATGTTTGTATTAAAGATCCTATATTATGCAAAAAATGACTCTTGTGAGCTTTAAGCCATGTTATAATCCTGTTACCTCCTCAAAAACAGACCTGGAGTTGTGTTTTGTAATCCTTTATTATTATCCCCTCTACATCTGTAAAGCTTAAAATTCTTTGTTGCACCTTGTGATGTCAGGTAGTGGTAGTTTTCATCTATTTTTTAGCTTTAGTTCAGTAGAGATTGGTATTTCCAAGGCTGAAATTATCCAAATGATTCTAGTGACGGTGCATGGACTTCCTGTATTAACACATGACATCACAAGTTGGAACGTGTTTTTCGTTTGAGAAAAGAACTCAACCTAAATATGCTGGACTTGTGTATTAAACATGTGTGAATGAAACAAGACACAACTCCAGGTCTATTTGTGGTGAGGAAACAGCATTAGAAAGTAACATAGATCAGAAAATGGCATAATATGGGCCATTTTAAATAAGACAAGTTTATCTAAAGGTACACATTGGGATTCCGATGCTGAAGGAGCAATGACGGGATACAACAAGGTGGAATCTGCAGCTGTGAGATAATTATGGGAGTCAAACAGGCCTGTCTCTGTGTATGTGAGAGCCGCTACAGTGAGACGTGAGGAGGCGGACAGCGGCACAAAGCTCTGTTTACTCAGCCTGACCTCGCTCTGTGATGAATGTGAGAGAAGTCTAAACATTAAACTCTATTGACAGGTTTAAGCTCTGGGAAACACTATAAGTAATGACATACTGGATAGAATTAGACTGTAGAATATAGTGAGGACTGATGGTAAAAACATCTATATCCTGTTGGCATTCTTTTGTTTTTGTGATGTCGTAGCATTGGTAATAATTAATGTTTTGTGTATAAGTTTTTGTTGGGAACTCGTCAACTTCTTGTTTTTATGGAGATGTCGTTGCTCTGCCCAGAATGTTCCACAGTATGACTTTAAACAGCTCTACTTGCTTTTAGTAAAGTACAGGTGGTTTCATAGCTCAAAAACACCTAGAAAAACAGGTATTCTGACTGTGAGCGGGGTCGCCTCTCCACAAATTTGACCTGTAACTTGTTCTGGTCTCCATGAAGATAGAAAAGATTAATACCATACTGCAATAACATCTCCATGGAGAAAAGCATTTGACGGACCCTCCCCCAGAAAAGTTACACAAAGCATCTAAGTCGTAATATATGTAAGGAAAATGGGTAAACGATAAAATTAAGCTACACTCCAAATGCAACTGCAGATATGTTTTTGATAAAGAAAAGGCATTATAACTCTACAGATCTGTAAAGCATAATATGGGCTTTTTAAAATATGAATTGCTTTGACAATTATAGGTAATTAAAGTCACAATATGTCACTTTTCAGACAAAAAATAGAAAGTAAAAGGAGTTTTCTTTCAATGAAAAACATGCGCCTTGCTGTTAAAGGCATTACATCTCCACGAACCTGACTCTTACTTGGCCTGGACGAGGGCCTTCTGCTTGTTGTCATGGTAGTGTTGTTCCTTTGGTTGTTGTTAAGCATTAAATGATTTAAGCATTGGATTTATATTTTGCCTTTCAACATACTCTGAGCTCTTTACAGTGCATTATTCATTCACTCCACACTCAGAGGTGGTAAGGTGTTACAGCTACAGCTGCCCTGGGTCAGACTGATGGAAGTGAGGCTGCCCATCTGCGTCCCACCAACAACTCACACACCACATTCATACCACGGGTCCATGTTTGGAGACCCGTACATGCCCGCACCCACGCAGCACAGCACCAGACCTGCCCGTTAATCCGTGATGATATCAAGGTTAAATCCACATTAACATTCCACACGTTACCTGCCCGTGCCTGTGATAAACTGGGGTCAGCACATTAGTCCGACAGCCCAATAGTCCAGGAATAAACCAGGACTAAACCAGAACTGAACCTACGCCATGTCATTGGCGAATTATAAATATATACACGCCACAACCACCGAGCCGATGGACCAGGACTGGACCAGGACTGAACCAGGACTGAACCAAATTGAACCAGGACCAGATCATGTCTAAACCATGTCTAAACCATGTCTAAACCAGGTCTAAACCAGGTCTAAACCAGGTCTAAACCAGGGCTAGACCAGGGCTAGACCAGGGCTAGACCAGTGTCATTAGCATAAATATATACATGCCGCAACTGCTGACCCGATCACCAGGACTACACCAGGATGGGACCAGGTCTAAACCAGGACTAAACCAAGACTTAACCAGGTCTGAACCAGTACTAAACAAGGACTTAACCAGGTCTGAACCATGACTAAACCAGGACTAAACCAGGAGCACAGCCGCCAAGCTGATCCCCTCTGTCCATCGTTTCAGGAAAAGACCAGGAAATGGCACTTGTTCCCAGGGCAACGGACACCCTGGACGCGCGTCAGGTATTTTTCTCCCGTTTGACGCTGATTTGATTCTCCTGACCCGCCCGTGTGTAATCACTACCCGCCCTCATACCTGTCCATAAAAGTCCATAAAATTCCATAACATTAAAACCCGCCCATTTCAGCAACTATTTACCTCTAAGTACCCGACCTGGTGTAGGACTCAGATTCATACTAATCCATGAAGTGTCTTGCCAAAGGATACAAGTATTTTGGCGCCCCACTGTCTGTAAACGTCCACGGTGTGACATAAAGTGTGCCTGTGTCTGAGGAGTGTTGTTTTAACCTTGTTTACATGGAAACCATCAGGTGACTTCTTGGGTGTTGTGACTGTTTCTTGGTTCATCACGTGGAGCCAGTTACTTTGTTGACATAAATATTCTCTTCAACACAAAGGCTACTCACAATGTGCCCTTCTGCTCTTGAGCAAAACACTTCCACTGTGTCTGTAAAGAGTGAATGAATCATGCGGCGAATAGGAAAACAGCTCTGATTGTTGAAAAAACCCTGCTTAAGACGAACGCATTATTCTTATTAGTGAGTCACAGGAAGGACATTGTTGAAGCAGTGCTAATTATAAGCTAGCTCCAAAGCCTCTGGGACAGGTTCAGCTGCATTCTGCTCTCGCCGATGCTAATGCTAGAGGATCGAACGCACAATGAATGCAGCTCTGTAGGATTTCCTTATTTCGTAAAAACATTGTTGGAATGTATTTTCTAACATTGTGTAATAACGTATTCGGCATTTATCATTTCGACATTTGACATTTAGAATTCATTTATCTTTAAGGTGGACGACACAGCCTTTCTGGCGCCACTGGTTTGTGCTTGTCTCCATGGTGATGGTATTGCTTTGCCTGGTATATTCCATGGTATGGCATTAAACACATTTACTTTTATCCATTATGAGTTTGCATTTGCTTTTACACTTTTTTTTTTTTTTACACTATACCAGAGCCAAGTTTTGACGTGACCACAACAACTAGCATGCTAACCCTGCACTGATGACACAATGATTTACTTTTTTTTTTTTTTTTGACATACTGTGCTTTTTAATAAGAACTGATTATACAATTTATCTGTTCTGGGGCTCAAAAACTAGCCTGATTTATCAGCAGGTTTCACTTCATGGAAACCATCTGACCTCGCAGCATTAGGATTTGTTCACTCGACAATAGGCAGGTACTTTTTTTTTATTGGACCAATCACTGCTGTTTGGTTGTGACGTATGTAATGCACCAAATCCCAATAATGTCTTTCCCCTTGATAAAATTCACCAAACATTCTCTTTGTTCCAGCTTTAAATCCTTGAACTCGGGAATGGTTGCCAAAACAGATTGTATGTCTTCGTCTACATCCATCTCAACCACTTTGTTTACTGTTGTGCTGTTCCACAAAAGGGACACAGACAGACGCTTGAGTTTGACGTCATGGCTTCACAGCTCTTCGCTGATTGGCCAGTGCGCGGTCTACAACTTCCGGGGTTCTTACAGACCGTCTAGTGTATTCTGATTCTTGACCTAGTGGCTGGAGAGAAATGAAATTGAGCGGAGGCACTAGGTGGCACCAGTCTGGCTACTCAACACCATGAAAAAAAGAAAAAACAATGCTTGAGGTGCACAACTTTCTCACTTTCTTTCTATGGATATGTCATTGCTCTGCCTGGACTGCTCCAGAGTGTGACATTAAACAGCTCTACCTTACATTTATTAAGTTTTATAGCTCAAAAATCTCTAGAAAAACAGGCATTCTGACTGTGAACGGGGTTGCCTCTCCACAGATCTGACCTGTAACTTGGTCTGGTTTGGTCTCCATGAAGACAGAAAGGTTTAGTGCCATATAAACAAAAATACAATAATTCTCTCTGTAAATAGAGTAGGGTTGCCTCTCTCCACAGATCTGACCTATAATGTACCCTACAGTTGTCTCCCTTGACCTAGAAAGGTTTAATCTTCTTCGTAGAACATTCTAGACAAAGCAATAACATCTCCATGAAGAAAAGCATTTTACGGAGCCTCCACCAGAAAAGTTACACAATGCACCTTTAAATTAATCTTTTTAAAGGTTCTGTTTAGGTTTTGGTTGTTGAACTATAATGCAAAATTGTGTAACCCTAAATATACACATTATACACATTAAAAAACAAATATTATGCAAAATGTAATTGACGCTGGTTCCAGTAATCCTCTGAAGAAAGTCCTCTGAGCTTTACTAAACTTTTGAAAATCCAGTTTGATATTTCCTGTGTTTGTGATGTAATAGATAGAAGCCTTGTGCAGTTTTTAAGTCCATAATTCATCTCTGGATTCGTTTGAAGCATTTTTGGCTCAAATCATGTTCATTACCGTTGCATGTTTACATGAACGTGTCTGAACATGTTGCCCATTACAAAATGAAATTGTTTTCGCAGTGATAATTCTCTGAGTAAATGACAAGCTGCACCAGATCAGAGTATGGGAGGATGGGGAGCACTGAGGCTGGGAAGTTAAAAAGGTTTTTTACTTAGACATTATTTTAAGGGTGTATTGTGCAACTTTTCAGGTTGCGGGTCTGCTACCACAGAGAAGCTATTGTCTTGTCAGCAATGTTCCACAATTGCCACGTTTCCATGAGAAAAATAATTTAATTCTGCATAAAAATGAATTCCACTTATAATACCATGTAAACAAACACTTCATTCCTAATGAAAATGATGATTCAGAATTAAACTTAATAAGTAAGTGGGTGGTTTATTCTGATTTTAAAGCCAAATTAATTTTATCCTCATTCATGTAAATGTTTTTTTTTCTTAAAAATAATTCCGGTTGATTAGCACATGCTCATTGGGTCACCCCTCTGACGCAATCCGGATGATCCGGCTCCACCAGTCCTTGCTTCGGACTTCCATCCACGTCTCTTTAGATTTGTGAGGGGATTGTGGGAGTGGACTGAAGTAGAGCAGCCATTGACTCAGTTCGTCTTCTTCCTCCCTTCTCCGACACTCTTCCCTTCTCCTCCTCAGCTGACAGACATAAAGCGTGATGAGAGAATTCTCCAGCTGCCATTCAATTATCATCAGAATGACGGTAAAAGTTTGGATCATGTTTTGTGTCCGTGGTGTAACGACAAACCGAGATTGCAAAAAGCCGATAGCAGCTGAAGTGTGTGTTTTCTTCCATTAGACGTAAATATGTTTGTGTCTCTGTCCAATCAGAACAGTTCCCCACCCCCAGAGGTTGAGTAGAATTAAATAAAGGCGATTTAATGTGTTTTCAGGACAATTAATTTGGAATAAAAAAAAAACATCATGTAAACGTGGTCATTATGGTATTAATGAGATGTTATTGCTTTGCCTGGAATGTTCCACGGTATGACATTAAACATACACTTCTGCATTTCTGCAATTTCTTCTGTGAATAGGGACGACTCTCCACAGATCTGAACTGTAATGTAGCGGATTGCTGTAACCTGCTCGTCTCCTTCATGATAGAGAGCTTTAATCTATACTGTGGAACATTCCAGACAAAGCAATAACATTTCTATGGAGATAAGCAGATGGCAGAACCTCCACTAGAAATGTTAAGCAGTGCACCTTTTACAAAAAAAACAAAAGAATATGTCATCAAAACTGGCCACAAGCAGCCACATTCACACAGACAAGTTGGGGTGTCTTGCTCAAGAGCACTAAAGCAGTAACTTTTTAGTAGTTGCAATTGAACCATTGACCTTTGCATTAGTGGGAAATAGTCTATACCCTCTGTGTTCTGAATGTTCCCTTGTTATTTATCTTGCTTAAGGACACAACAGCACTGTGAAATAACAGTAGTGTGAATTGAACCCCAGCCTCTCTGACTGTTTCCTTGTCGTTTCCAGACCCTCCAGAGGTGAAGATCGTGGCCGGGTCGGGGGACTGGTTTGTGGGGATGGAGAAGGCTGAGCTCCAGTGTGAAGCCCAGGGACAACCTCCAGTCTCCAACGTCACATGGAAATGGTACGAACATACAACTTTACACTACTTAAGAATATCATATCAGGGCTAGACCAGGGACTAGACGGGGGACAAGACCGGGGATCAGACCAATTACTAGACCAGGAACCAGAGCTGGGACCAGACCAGGGATCAGACCAGGTGACTAGCACGGGGACTAGCACGGGGACTAGACTAGGATTTAATCATCAGTACTTAACTGGGCTCAAACCAGGACAACCGTAAATTACCCTTTTTTTATTTTTTATTTTTATTTAGATCTTGGATCCAGACTTGGTTAGTCCTGGTTAAGTCCTGGTTGAGTCTAGGTTTCATTCTGGTTTAGACCTGGTTTAGTCTTGGTTTCGTTCTGGTTTAGTTCTGGTTTAGTCCTGGTTTAGTCCTGGATTTGTCCTGATTAAGTCCTGGTTTAGTCTTGGTTCAGGTGAGAGTTTTGCTGTGACTGTAAAGCTAACAACAATTAGCATGCTAACAGTGGACTTCCTGATTTTTTGACAATACCTTGTTTTCTAATAAGATCTGCTTATACAGTATATCTTATCTGGGGCAAGACAATTTTTGCAGCATGGGGGAAAAACAGGTACAGGGGCTTTAAACGTGCACCATGTAACTTTTTGGTTGGGGATCCATCATTGCTTTGGCTGGAATGTTCCACAGTAAGGCATTAAACAACTGTACTTTACATTTATTCAAATGTATAATTTTATTCCACAGATCTGACCTGTAACTTGATCTGGTTTGGTCTCCATGAAGATAGAAAGGTTTAAAGCCATACTGTGAAACATTCCAAACAAAGCAGTAACATATCTCCACCAAAAATGTTACACAATGCTCCTTTAAAAGATTCTATATTACGTCATGTTATAATGTTGTTACCTCCTCAAAAACATAACTGGAATTGTGTTTTGTTTCATTCACACGTGTTTGAGTAACCCTTTATTATTAGTCTGTCTATATCCCCAAAGCTCAAAATCCTTTGTTCCACCTTGTGATGTCATGAAGCTATAATTTGAAGTTAACAGCTACCTTTTGTCTTTTGTTCTGTAGAGATTGGCAATTCCAGGGCTGAAATTATCCAAATGATTCTTATGAAGGTGTATGAAGTTGGAAAAAAAAAAAAACAGAAAAAAAAACTGTGGAGCACTTCCTGTATTACTGTATGACATCACAGGGTGGAACAGAGTGTTTTCAGTTTGAGAGAAGAGCCTAAATATGCAGGGTTTGTGTGTTAAACATGTGAATGAAACAAAACACAACTCCAGGTCTGTTTGTGATGAGGAAACGGCATTGGATCAGAACATAGCATAATATGGACCCTTCAGACTGTTGAGTAATATTGACCCATAACACAGCACATAAGGCTATCCACACACACACACACTCACACACACAAGGGGACAGCTCTCTTCTCTCTGCGTTACCGTTAAAACTGCCGTGAGCCTTTCTTTGTGAAGAGTCCCAATTATTTCAGAATAAAAGCTTCGGCGTTTGGAGTCAGGTTTCTCAAAAGGAACAGAGGCATTTTCACACGAGGAGCAGATGAGCGGGAGACGAGAGATAAGCTTTTAATCACAGCCCTGCCTCGGATAAGACTCGGTAATGCAGCTAAAATACAGGGTGATTCTAATTAGAGACACTGAGCCGCTACAGACACGAGCAGGCCCATGGGATAACACAGAGAGAGAGAGAGAGAGGGAGCCATGTTAGAAAGGTAAATAAAATGTTTCAAACGCTATTTTGAATCAATACGGAATAGACTCGATACTCAGTAATGATTCTGATACTAAAAACAGTCTTTCGTAGTACTTTCTTTTCTGTTCCTGTGTGGTCTTATATGTGTTTGATCCCTCAGGTGTCCAGGCAGGTTCCATAGTGCTCCATGGGTGTATACTAGTCTATGTGCTCTTATACACAGCAAAAACCGGAGGGTTAAAATTTCAGGGTTGTTTTTAACACAAAAAGTGTTATTTTAACTATTTGAAAGTTAAATGGGGGTTTGAGTTGGGGTTATTTGCCAGAGTTGATATGGTTGAAGTTAATTCAACTTCCCCTAGTGTTCATTCAACACTTGGGTTAATTTGGCAGCTCCCACACACCACTTCAAACTCCCATGAGAGAAGATCAGTCTGAACCAGTTTTGTACAGAATTTCATCTTAAATTAACTAAAATAAAACACCTCTGTGTGTTGTTTCTCTCTCAAAAATGTTAATATAACTCATAATTTTGGGGTTAAAGAGGAACTTTGGTCCAGTGTTACTTAATTAACATTTTTAAAAACGTAAAAATTAACTGTAGAACAGATAGGACTCATATAAACTATGAGAAAATGTTAAAACAGATTCTGTGTGAGTCAGTTTTAACGCTCCACTTTTTTGCTGTGGTCTTGTTCTGATACAGCTCAAGATCATTCTAAAGCAATAGGCTCTATTCACATAACCATATCCACCTAGTGCCTCCACTCAGTTTAATTTCTCTCCAGCGACTAGGTCAGGAATTCGAATACACTAGACGGTTTGCAAGAACCCCGGAAGTTGTAGACTGCACACCGGCCAATCAGCAAAGAGCTGTGAAGCCATGACGTCAAACTCCCAAGATGGATGTAGAAGAAGCCATATTTTCTGTATTTGCAACGATTCCCCAGATCGAGGATGTAAAGCCGGAACAAAGAGAATGTTTGTTGAATTTTATCAAGGGGAAAGACGTTATTGTCCTTCTTCCTACGGGATTTGGTGCATTACATGCATCATGACCAAATAGCAGCAATTGGTTAAATAAAAAAAGTACCCGCCTACTGTCGAACGAACGAATCCTAATGCTGCGAGATCAGATGGTCAGATGGTTTCCACAAAGTGAAACCGGCTGATGAATTGGGCTACTATTCACGCTTACCAGAAGACATTTGGAAACATGCAGGTGACAACAAGTGTAGTTTCCGACACTGGGTCTGTGATAAAACCATGGATTCAGCAGCAGCGTCTTCACAACCTGCCAAAGCTTTCCGTGGGGGACGGGACTCTAATCACATTTTTGATGTGACTCACAGGCAGCTGGTTGGAACTGTTAATCTGCCAAATATATCGAAACGCAATGACATCTTTTTTTTTTTTTATAATACACAAATGAATATGCAATTTATAAAAGGAAAAACAGGAATACAGTGACATCAAGGTGAAGAAAACCGGGCCAACTCATGGCCAACCGGGCCATGAGTTCCTATCGCTAGCAGAGCCCAAAGGAAGTCGTCATCCGCATATTTCCAAATGTCTGCCGGTTATGTGATGTAAGTGTGAATAGAGCCCATTCAGGAAAGGTTAATTTCTGTCCCGTGAATGTGACTTTTTTAGTATCGATACCTGCTCAAATGAGTAGTTTTGATACCACTTTATTATTCATTAGTTTCAGATTTTTTTATACTTTCTATAACCCTGAATAGAGTAGATTTATACTGTTTTATTTAAGGAAAAAACATTAAATTCATTGTTGTTATTGTTTTGTTTTTTTCTATTTATTCTATTTTCCCCTTTAAATTTCTTTCTTTTCTACTGGTTTTGGTTCCCTTCATCTTTTTTGGGCTGACTTCTTCAACAAGGGATATGTCTTCAACAACTAACAGAATAAATTCTAGACGTTTTTTTTTTTTTATGTTTTACTGTGAAATATTCAAGGCAGAGCAATAACCACAGAGACGATTGGGTGGCAGATGTTTTTTTACTCCACGATTTACACATTTAGTCAAACTTAATGAACAGCTTTACTCCTTTGACCTCCGCAGACTCATTACTGGTCTTATCTGGGTGATTTCGAAGCGTCTCTCCTCTGCTTAGATCCTATCTCCTCTCAGGCGATTCTAAAGCCACAGACAGTAAAGCTAGGTGGAGTTTTGGGAGCAGAAATTCGAGCTGGTCTTTTTTGGAGCTAAACTGTAGCTAAGTGTCCACAAATCCCAGCAACCTGACCCTCTCTGTGGAGTAGAACCAGAAACCGCCTCTCCTTTGTATGTTCTGCAGGTTTCAAGTCCATTCATTTAAACTGTGACAGGGCCCATAGTGCAGGAGCATGGGGAGAACAGGTGGAACACAGCAGCACAAGAGAGATTTAAAGCTGCATTGTGTCACATGCAAACCAGACCATGTTACAGGTCAGAGCTGTGGAGAGGCGACACCGCTCACAGTCAGAATGCCTCTTTTTCTATGTATTTCTGAGCAATAAAACCACCTGTAATCAGAGGTGCAGTGGGTGTGGTACGCGGGGGTACGCTGTCCACCCACTTCCTCCGACGTGAGATATAAAAAAATAATAAATATAAAATACCTACAACTTAAATGTCAAAGCAGAGCTATTGGCAATGGTGAAAACAACCTGCTGTAGTCCTGGTTTAGTCCTGGTTTAGTCCTGGTTTAGTCCTGATGTAGACCTGGTGTAGATCTGGTGTAGACCTGGTGTAGTCCTGGTTTAGTCCTGGCTTAGTTCTGGTTCAGTCCTGGTTTAGACCTGGTTTAGTCCTGGTTTAGTCCTGGTTCAGTCCTGGTTTAGTCCTAATTGAAACCTGATTTAGTCCTGGTTTAGTCCTGGTTTAGACCTGGTTTAGTCCTGGTGTAGTCCTGGTTTAGTCCTAGTTCAGTCCTGATTTAGTCCTGGTTTAGACCTGGTTTAGTCCTGGTTTAGTCCTGGTTCATGTATGATTTATGTTTTCTAGGTGATTATGAACGTCGTTAATGTTAATGACATGATTCCGCCTCATTTTGAGTTAAAAAACAAACAAACAAAAAAAACATAAAATATTACAGATTTTTACTGGGCTTTTTAAAATAAATTTATTTTCATTTTAAAGGTAGATAGATAGATCATCACATCGATGGCGTCACAAATCGTGTACCCCCACTTAAAAAATCCCCACTACACCACTGTCTGTAATTAAATACATGTAACGTTGAGCTGTTTTAATGTCATACTGTGGAACATTCCAGGCAGAGCAATCACATATCCATAGAAACAAGACGGTGACGGACCCCAACCAAAAAGTTACACCGAAATTTGGGTGTATTATGTCATTTATGGATTCATTATATTATATCCATGGCTTATTTTATTTATTTTTTGAATTGTTGCCTTTGTTTCTTTATCTCAAAAGTGTGTACTACAGATAAAATATTAGATTTTTGCCATCTTAAAAACAGATTTAGTTCACTTGAAACAGTTTGTAGTAGTCCAACGTTCTTCCTCACTTACTTACCTTGTGCATTCAAAGCATCCTAATTATTCACCATGATGAGTTTCAGGCTACTTTTATATGATGACAGTCTGAACAGAAGATGCAAAAGTGGCATCGCGTCTTCACTTTATTTTTCTGAGTTTAGACAAGTGTTTTCAGGAGGAAATCTGCGTGCATATGGTGATGCAAAAGTGTGTTGAATGCGATTGTGTATGCATGTCAGGTGGCTCGGTGGTAACGCTAGGTGGTGATGTATGGGACGTAAACGTGTACACGACTTGAGCAGATCTGACTAGAGTTTTGCATCTCGGGCAGTGTAGTCGGAAACGCTACGGTGGAGCGTATTCAACTTTTCCACTCTGGAGGGTGGTTTTAGATTTTTGTGTTTTTAAGTTTAGATTTTTGTGTTTTTAAGCCCCAAAACCACTGTCACCATCTAAACGAAAGGCACCTCCAATGCCCTAAAAGTGCTTTACATAACTTTCAGAACCCACAACGTTACCGTAAATCAAACTAGCATGTTAACAGTGCATGTCCTGATTCTCTGGCAGTAAAACCTTTTATTATTAGATGCAGGAAGCACACAGCTGACTTATTTTGACTTCTGGAGCTGCTTATACAATACATCTGTACTACATGACAAGACATGTTTTGCCCCAATGTAATTTCACTAATATACACAAGCTGCTATCTCCTATTTGTGCCATTCCCAAACCTGGATAAAGTCTCACCAGGAAGGGCATCCGAGCTTACCACTGCATTACAAGGCTTGTTACTTGATTTAAAAATATATATTATTAGTGTGGGAACACTCCAACACAATTCTGTACTACTATATAATATAATATAATAGCATACATTCCAGAGCTATTCGAGAACTAGTGGGACTTTTTCTCAACATATCGAGGCTGTATTTAATTTCATATCCAGATGTCTCTCAGCTCTTATTTCCTGGTTTAAGTCTCATGTTTTGTTTCTCGTGTCACTAAAGTTCATGCATGTGTTTGTGTGGAGCAGGAAAGGAGGGGCCCTGCCTCAGGAGGCGCTGGTGATTGGGACCAAACTGGTTTTCAAGCGCGCCCTGCGTCTGAATGACAGTGGAGTGTACGAGTGTGTGGCTCTGAACGCTGCAGGACCCGGGAGGACAGAGTATGAGTTCACTGTGGCAGGTGAGAGAAACACTGCCCTCTGGTGGTAAAACAACAGGACTTAGACTTAGACAAACTTTATTGATCCACAAGGGAAATTATTTGGACACAGTAGCTCACACATCACAATATAAAATAATAACAAAGAGCAAAAATATAAATGGTAAAATAAATTCCAAATAAGTAGCAAAAAAAGATGGCAAAAGACGGGTGTCAAATAAGACAAAATTATATAAATGTAAACGTACAAGTCAAAATAAAATATAAAGATAAGTAATAAAATATAAAAATAAAAAATAAAATAGAAAGATAAGTAATAAACTGTTTTAAAAAAATCACAGCTTTAAACTAGAGGTTTAGTGCAACCACAGGAAGACAGTGCAACAATGATAACTGACAGGACATAGGGTTATCTGTTACATAAGGGTGAGTTGTTGTACAGTTGTAGGAAGTATTATATGAGTATGGTATGAATGTAGGCCTGTGTCTCTCACTGTTTGAGTGGAGGACTTCATGCAGGATTTATTTTTCTTTGATTATTTGACAAATCAAACAATTATTTTGATTCTACATTCAGATTTTGTAACCAAAATTAAAGCTGAAATAGGATGAATGGAGGCTAGACAGATTATTAACAAGTAAAGTGAATAATTGATTTATTTTTTTGCATTTTATGCTCAATTTGGTCAATTATTTTATTTTACTTTTATTTTACCCAAGAGAGACCTGCCCAGGTAGCTGCCAACACAATACAAAACAAAACAAAACAGTCAAATCACAAAGTATCACATTATAAAAAGGAGGTGGTACCTCCTACCATCACCTGCTTGTTTCTATTGATATGTCATTTCTCTGCCTGGAATGTTCCACAGTATGACATTAAACACCTTAATTTACATTTATTCAATTACAGGTGGTTTTATAGCTCAAAAATACCTAGAAAAACTGTCAGTGCCTGTCAGACCTGTAACTTGGTCGGGTTTGGCAAGATTGAAAGGTTTAATGCCATACTGTGAAACATTCCAGACAAAGCAAAAACATCTTCATGGAGAAAAGTGCAAAAAATTTGATGGACTCTCCACCAGAAAAGTTACACAATGCAACTTTACACCCAATGAATACACTTTTTCTACATGATTTTCTGTTATAGCCTGTTTGTGTGTTTTTGTTGTAATCCTAAACGAGCTCTTCTTTTTCCAGAGCGTTCCTTTCGTATGGCGGACCTGGGAAGCGACAACTTCCTGTTGATCATGATCGGGGCAGGGGCGGCGCTTCTGGTGCTGGTCATGGTTGTGGTCATCGTCCTGGTGAATCGACATCACAAAAACAAACACAAGAAACTGGAGCTGGAGCTCAGCGAGAAAACGTGAGACTCAAAACTGCCCCCACTGTATAATATGTGTTCAGTGTATTTAAACTAAAGACTGAGACTAAAGTGGAACTAAACCTGGCACAGAACTTGAGTAATGTCTTGTAGTATGGCTGATTCAGTTATAATAATTTTAAAAAAGACTTAAATTTAACAAGTATAACAGCAAATAAAAATACAGACTTACCAAAGACAAAACTGGGACTAAATCAAAGCTAATTTTTAAAGGTGTATTATGTAACTTTGTGGTTGGGGGTCTATCACATGCTTGATTCTATAGATATAAAAGTGAAAAAAAATGCATAGCACACTCAGATGACCAAGCTTTTTTAATTTTACAGTATACTGTGGTTCAAAGCAAGAGAAATTATCTGATGAAAGTTTTTTGTCAATGTTATTTAAATTTTTTTTTAAAAGCGTTTGGACATCGACCATCTGAGTGTGCTCTGCATTTTTTTCACTTTTATATTGTTGTTCCTTGCATTTGCACCTAGAAATTTGGTGTGCGTTTTCTGTTTCATTTGTTTCTATGAAGATTTTGGAGTAATTTTGGAGTCATTGCTCTACCTGGAATGTTCCACAGTGTGACATTAAACAGCTCTACCTTACATTTATTCAATTACATATGTTTTTATAGCTCAAAAATACCCAGAAAAACAGACACTGTGACTGTGAAAGGGGTCGCCTCTCCACAGATCTGAAGTGTAACTTGGTCTGGTTTGGTCTCCATGAAGATAGAAAGGTTTAATGCCATACTGTGAAACATTCCAGACAAAGCAGTAACATCTTCATGGAGAAAAGCATTTGACGGACCCTCAAACAGAAAAATTACACAAAACAATAAATAAGGAAAACTGCTTTATTGGACAGTGTGATTGTGTGTGGGGGTTATTGTGATATATTGAGTATGTTGCTGTAAATATTACTACAGTTCATGTGTTAATTCCTCTATGAAACTGTGCCACTCGTTTCTTTTTTGTTGTTGTTGTCGTTGTTGTTGTTTTTTGATCTGTTATTTGCTGAATCCTGTTTTGCTGCTGTTATTTTCAGGGAGGAAATAAACTCTCTGTCCAGACAAACATCCCTGAGACGACTCAACTCGGTCAGCACCGACCCCAGAGTCCAGGTAATGTGAGGAATAAATATACACAATAATGTTCTGGTCACTTTTCTTTAGTAAAAAATGCAATGTCTCAATGAAAGACTTAAAGGACACAAGATATGAGGTAAATGTCTTCAAGTCAAACATAGCTTTTACTGGTAACGATTCTAATGCTGATTTATTCTTAATTACAAAAATTTGTTTTATAATTTGATGTTTTGATTATTCTCTAATCAGAAAGCAGAATGAGCCTCACATTTCTGTTGCCAGTTTCAATGGTGAAATCCATTGTATTTAAACCTAAAATGCCTCTCTGATATGAACGGTCACTCCCTAAACCCAGCTCCTGCACCAGTCATGAGTCAGTGCTAGTGCAGCCTCTGCAACTCAGGAAAAGAATTCTGGAGGTGTTGAGCTTTCATATAAGGTCTGTCCATAAACTGAGAGTGAGGCACACTTGGATGTGTCTCCATCTGCACGTTCAGACTCTGGAGACACAGGTTCAGTTGTGATTGTAGTGCATATTTTCATTGTTAAAAATGACACCTTTCACTGTTAAGGACAGCTTTAATTCACTCATTCGATTCTCAGATTTTTACTTTTTATATTGACCCAAATAATGATTTGCCTCAGCCCCTGGGCATGCTGGGGTATTAGTTAAAGCAGTGGCCATTTTGTGTCTAGTGTCCATAATTACAGCTTGGTGTCTTCTAAATCCACTGTCTCCAAAAGAGTCCATGTCTGTATTTGTTATAATGAGGTGTTTAAGTGTTCGTTTGTGACGTCGTGTCTCACCTTCTGTGTTCAGCCTGAAGATTACGCCCTGCTCCGAGTAGACAGCAGAATGAAAAACAGTCAAATGTCTCTGGTGAGTTCAGTGACCTCAGTATAATCTGTAATTATGACACTGTTCTGAGCCATTAAGACCCATGGTTCATTAAAGTCCTGTGTTACACTAAATCCACTTTTACTCCGCTTTTAGCCTTGTCGTACTAAAGCCACCTCCCTGGATCCTCTCAGAGCTCAAAACATTTTGTGACATCATTAAGTGCTAATCAAGGACTTGTTTTTAAACTCAACTGACCTTAGCCAGACTTAATATTTCAGGTTGCAAAGGACCTCCCATGCAATGCAGCTCAAAGTTTGTGGCTATTGCTTTTAGCTTTATTTAAACTGCTTTATTTGCTCTTACACCAGTGGAAAGCAACTTCTGATGTTTTACATATATAGAAGAAAGGACATCTGACATTAAAAAAAAAATCTACTTTTAAGCAAATCAGGGAGACTAGAGACAGAGATGTATTTTTGCAGTAATTGCAGAAGTTAAAATCTGAGATGTAAGTTATTTAAAGGTACACTGTGGGGGGTCAAGTATTTGCTACATGGAAACCCTTGAAAATGACTGGTGTTTTAATAGCTTTAAAAAGCCTTGTAGAGTCACCTGCTTGTCTCCACAGAGATAGGAAAGTTAATGCCACACTGGAGAATGTTATAGGGAATGTGATACTCTCTCCACAGAAACCAGAAAAGTTTAAGTAGACCTTTTAACTTGAGACTTTTAACAGATCTAGTTCAATTTAAACAGTTTGCAGTTGTCTAAAGTTCTTCCTCACTTCCCTTCTGCATTCAGAGCATCCTAATTACTCTCCATGATGAGTTTGTAATAAACAAAGACCGATATATTGTTTGGCCGATATATTGAGCTGATATTTGGACTTTTTAGCACATTGTCTATGGACGTGAAAACTTTAGCACAGGCCACTATTTAGTTTTGGTCGATTTGCTGACTAAAAATACACACAAACCTTATTTTCACACTTTATTAAGCGTAAAATGTGACTACACAGGTCCCTTATGGGTTTGTGGTAAAAGAAAATGGCAGTTTGTAGTAAATTTAAATAGGATAATTTGAGGAAAATAATCAACATCGGCTCTATATATCGACTCAAAAATATCATCAGAGCTTATCGCTGTCAGTTGTTCTGGATCCTAAACAATCGGCATCGATATCAGCCACGATAAAAACCCATATCTGTTGATCTCCTGTTTATAAGAGCTTTTCACAACTCTCAGAGACTGGAGCAGAGTTTTGCTGTGCTGGTAAAGCTAAAAACAACTTTAATGCTAACATGCACTTCCTGATTATCAAATAATAAAATAATTAGATGCAGACAGTACACAGTGGATACTTTGACCTCAAGAGCTGCTTATACAACAGATCTGTACTAGGGCAACACATTTTGCTCAAATACATGTGGAGAAGCTGGGATCATGGTCTTTAACTTTGATATTTTTGTAAACACAGGAGAGACCCATCTACAAAGGCAGCCAGGGGACTCTGACGGGGAAGTGGGGGCCCCCTGGTGGTGTGGAGGTGGATGAGCTGGGTCGCCCGGTGGTGTGGAGTGAGACAGAGATGGAGTCGGAGCGAGAGGAGAGGAGGAGGAGGGTGGAGTCCTATCTAAAGAGCAGCAATATGTCTCTGGTAAGAATCACACTGCACAACTCTGGTTTCTCATCAAAGGGGCCATTAAATTAACTTGCGTTCACTTGACTTCAAAACCATTATAAACTGGGGCTGATTCACTCATTTCTATCTATAAAGTTACACTGTTAGCATGCTAGTTGTTGTTGCAGTGGCGTAATGGCAAAACTCCCCTGTTATTGTTAGATTCTTTAAACTGAACTTGCCCAGATACTTAAATGCAGCGTACAAGTTGCTATAGTAACCGTACTTTGGACAAATATAATTTTTAAGATTCGTTCAGTTACATTTACTCTTGAAATATAAACTGTTTTACTGATAAATATGTGCTCAAAGTCTGTGGAAATTGTGTATTTAAACTGTTACTAAATGCAACTAGAATGCCTAGAATGTTCCACAGTATAGATTAAACTTATCTATTATGAAGGAGACAAGCAGGCCGCAGCACTACGCTACATTACAGTTCAGATCTGTGGAGAGGCACCCCTATTCACAGAAGGAATTTCATGCGTTTTGGCTGAAATTATATTTAGTTTGCATAGTATGTAATTTATTTTGCTATATGTAAATATTTGTAAAGTTCTGTGATCAATGTACATAAGCATCCACATCATTTTTGAAACTATGTCATGAACAGGGGTGGGTTACCATAAGTTTTTCTTCTTCCCACTCCTTTTCGAGAAATGTGCCTTTCTGTTGTTTACATGTAGTATGTGTATGATTATTGTTTCTCTTTTGGCACAAACTCAAAATAAAAAATAATCAGTCAGTCTCAATTAATCACATAACAATATTTGCCCCAAAAGCAACATTTATTTTATGTAAGTGAATTTTAGTGGACGACTTCATCAAATAATACACAGTCACTTTTAAACTCAAGCTCTTTTAATGTCAGGAAATATGTCTTGAAAATATAAATTGCTTTTCATTTCATAACAGTAGATAAAGGTGAGGTCCCTGTCCAAAACTGAAGAGACTGAAGTGCCATTTTGTCATTTGTTTGAGTTTGTACTGTCTTGTGTGTACTCGGACCAACAACTCCAGCAGTTTCTGTGCTCACTGTCACTTGTTTTGCATTAAATTGTATCGTAAGGTTGAAGTACTTCTATGATATGCAAACTCTTTTCTGCACAGTTTGCAATAAATGACGCCTTTGTCAATACTTCCATCAGGTAGCTTTTTAAATAGAAATTTACCAGCCAGTAGACCCAGAGCTGTTTCATGCTCCATTGTTGTCTCATTATAGATCCATGTGTTGTAGTCAGAACTGTGTGTGTCAATATAATTGGCGCACAATGACACAGTGCACTGACAAATGTTCTGCGTTATTTCCTGCGATAAAATGCGATAATATTTTTACTGCATTATTTTAATTAATGTCCCACCCCTAGTTTCTATGGAGATGTCATTGCTCTGCCTGTAATGTTCCGCAGTATGACATTAAACAGCTCTACTTTACATTTATTAAATTACAGGTGGTTTTATAGCTCAAAAATACCTAAGGAAAAAAAAGGCATACTGAGCGTGGTCGCTTGTCCACAGATCTGACCTGTAACTTGGTCTGGTTTGGTCTCCATGAAGATAGAAAGGTTTAAAGCCATACTGTGAAACATTTCTGACAAAGCCATAACATCTCCATTGAGAAAAGCATTTGACGGAGCCTCTGCCAAAAAAGTTGCACCTTTTAAGACAAATTAAAATTTAATGAGGGGAAAACTGAAACTACATTACTTTCCAACGTAGTCCCTGTATAATGTCAAAATAAACAAGGAATTTTACATAATATTTTAAAATCTGTTCTCTTCTCTCCTCTTGTAGGACTCTGGTCTGCCCTCCTCTCTGGTCCCTCTGAAGCCGCAGCCAGAGGAGGTCCTTGTCCCGTGTCGCCACGAAGAACTGCCCCACCTAAGACACGCCCCCTCGCCAAACCTAAGACACGCCCCCTCGCCAAACATTGAGTCATGGAGCCCATCTGCCCCGGGGCAAGTGGACGACGACACGGACAGCGGCACTTACCAGATCTCTGAAGCTTTAAACAACCATTTCTACTTTAGCAATGGGCAGCTCAGACCAAGACCGCACTCAAACGCTATTCTGCTCAACCCAAGTCGACCAAGCTCTGTCATACGCACTCAAAAAACTTAAAGGACTCCACAGAAAAACTACATTTGAACTATAGAGAATATATTAAATCACATTAATACTGTGTAACTTCACAGGGTGTTTGACAAGAGACCTATAGTAGTTGGAACACTACAAAAATTAGGGTCTCAAGTAAAAAAAAAAAAAAAAAAAGAATTCAGAATATCTATTTTGATTTGAAGAAGTTTAACTAGTTTAGAGGTATGAATGGTCTATTTTTGTATTGGATATGCATTATTTGAGGATTTAAGGAATTTCTGAGTTGTTTCGATTCTTTGTTTAATATTACAAGCTATATTTTTTGCCAATTTGGTCTAAAAGTAAGTGAAATTATGCATAATTGTAAGTTTGTGTTATTAAAAGGCCCGTATTTTGTAATTTTCTGATCTGTTATAATGTTGTTTCCTCATCACAAACAGACCAAGGTTTGTGTTTTGTTTCGTTCGCACACAAACCCTGCAGATTTACACTGAGTTCGTCTGTCAAACTGAAAACGCTCTGTTCCACCTTGTGATGTCATGTGGTAATATAGGAAGCTCTCCACTGTATTTTTAAACTCACACACCTTCACTAGGATCATTTGGATGATTTTAGCTCAAGAATTGCCAATCTCCACTGAACTAAAGGTATAAGGAGCTGTTTTCTTGAAAACTACTGTTACATGACATCACAAGGTGGAACAGAGCATTTTGAACTTTGGAGATATAGACAGACTAATAATAAAGAGTTACTCAAACATGTGTGAATGAAACAAAACACAACTCCAGGTCTGTTTTTGAGGAGCTATCAACATTATAACATGTCAATTTTGCATAGTATAGGACCTTTAAAAAAGACAGATTGATATTCTGAAAACAATATTTAATTTTTATTTTTTTGTATATTAGTTTTGTTGCATTGAATGTGCTGGATTGTAAAAATGTGATCTTTTTTTTTTTTTTTTTTACAAGAATAACTTAAAAATCTATGAAATCTCAAAGTCTCAAAGTTAAAGCAGTGAATGAGGTGTATTATACAGGTGACAGCTGGCCCTGTCAATGTTGAGTGTCTGTTCAGGTAAAGATCCACCTTACTGACCCATACTTGTCCTCTGCATTTGACCCACCCACTTAGTCTGATCCTAATGGAAGGATTAGACATAGGGAGAACATACAAACTCTGTAAGTATCTCTCAGTCCAGGAATCAAACCCAGGATGTTCTGGCGGTGAGGCAGTGTGCCCATTTTAAACGCATGTGTGAGCAAATGGACGGTTTTGTATACTGCATGAATCCTGTATGTTGCAGTAAAAGGCACAACAAAATGTTACACAGCATTACGTTAAATGTAAATCATATTCATTGATCAAAGGGTGCATATTAGGCTATTTTGATCAGTTCTAATGTTCTTTCCTCCTCAAAAAACAGACCTGGAGTTGTGTTTTGTTTCATTCACACATTTAACGCAAAAATCCTGCATATTTAGACACCTTCACTAGAATCATTTGGATAATTTCAGCCTTGGAATTGCCATTCTCTACTGAACTGTTAACTTCAAAACTACCTCTTCATGACATCACAAGGTGGAAAAGAGCATTTGGAGCTTTGGAAATGTAGACAGACTAATAATAAAGGGTTAGTCAAACGTGTGCATGAAAGACAACAACTCCAGGTCTGTTTTCGAGCAGGTAACAGCATTAAAACGTGACATAAAGCTCAAAAGAATCCATTTTGCATAAATATAGAACCTTTCAAAACATTTTGTGTAAACTGTTAGTGGAAATCTTTTATTTTGTTTGTCTTATCATTCTGGGATCTCATGCTAATATATGCGCTCAACACTATAGATTTCAATGAAGGATATGTTTATTATGAGACAACATTTTGAACTCAATTTAGTGTATTTTTAAAATGCCTTAACTGCCTACATGGACTGTAACGTCTTTCCCATTAGGATGAAATATGTGTTTACAAGAGGAAAACTATTATTTTTGTCATTGGAGCTTGACATTTAAACTCAAGCTTAAAGGATTGTGGCTGTATATATTATTTGGTGAAAAGAATTGTCCATGTTTGTATGTAAGAGTACATGTGTAAAGTATGAATTGTATTTTCTGACAGTTTGAAAAGGTCAAAAAGGCTGTGACATATTCCTGACAATGAACAACTATGGACAAGTATTAAGAACATATGGGACTAAAGCCTATGGAAAAGAATCCTGCCACTGTCACGCTCAAATACTGTCAAATGTTTACTGTTTTTTTTTTTTTTTTTTAAATAATGTTAATATTTTGTTTGTTCATAAAACGGACATAATTGCAACTTCCAGTCACAAGTATTTTTTATTTAAGATCCTTGGGTATGTTGGGGTCTTGTTCACGAGTAAGGGGAGGATGGAGTTTGAGATTGACAGGTGGATTGGTCTGTTCTGATGCCTCCTGGACGCCTCTCTGGGGAGATGTTCATGTCCCACCAGGAGCCAAGACACAGGACACTGGAGGGACTGTGTCTCTGGGCCTAAGAACACCTCAAGATCTCCCAGAAGAGCTGGAGGACGAGTGTATGGAGAGGGTAGTCTGGGCCTCCCTGTTCAGACTGCTGC